CGCAATTTGCCGCGCGCATCCTCGGACGCACGTAAGTTCCGTCCCCCCGGTGGAGCATGCCCTCTTCTGGAGAACGCTCTACTATAATATGTCCAAAATCCGGGCTGGGGGTCTTCAAAAGTTGACAATTGGGTTTGTAGAAGGCTAGAAGCATTTCCAGTTTGATACTCTCTTGTCATTAAGAGATGGAATCCCTGTGTCAACTCCAACGCAGGCTATGGTCCTTACATTTTTTGTGATGTAGGTCGAGTGAAAGCAGCACGCCATTTTGCAGAATCTCTTCGGACCACGTTGACGACAAAACGAAGCGAGCTGCCTTGCGGGGAGCCGAATCTATCTGAACAATCTGTTTTGAGCAAATGCATGCAGCAGAAGATGGCGAGTAATGCATACCCCTGATCCCCGATTGGATCACCTGCAAGCAGGATAGGGGGCTGACTGTTCTCGGCTATCCTGTCGATATGTAAAGATGTAGAATTATTCAGATAAAATGAGTAATACGGCTACTATAGAGGGCATACGCACCAAGACTGTTCCGCGGCGAACCAGTCCCAGGTCCTGTGAACTGTCGTGAGAGTGGGATTTTTCATCCAATACCGTTCCACTTTCGGGAAGGCTAACTGTTTATTAGTAGTGACTCACACCGCACCTCATGACCCTGAGCGAACTTCGTTTCTTCCTCTACCATACTTGCAGATATGCTCGACATGTTTCAAGTGGGACAACGACATACTCAGAGCCTCAAGTCAATGATAGTCGAGATCTGCCTCGGAACGAGTTCATTCTCAGAAATGTAGTGGACCTCAGGATACGTCCCACCAGACGACGTTGGAGGAGTCGGCATTACCCAACAGAACAGTTTCAAAGCGATCCGAGCGGGGATCGGAGGTACGTCACCAGTCGATGTCTTGTTTGAAGACTATTCTATATGGTCTTTAATTCAGGTTGACGAGGACGGGTCAACCGTAGGAATCAGTCTGTTGTGAAGCGATCCGAATGGGGATCGAAGGTACAGCACTACTGAACGAGTATTCCGATGTCCAGTTTTTAATTGCTCTAGTTTCAGATTGATTCCGCACTTATCCGAACGGGCCCATTCTTTGTCTACAGGGCTCAGTGATGTGGAAACCTGAACGAGAAGCCTCTTGAACTCCCAACAACACCGATACTAGTACAGGACGGGTCAGCCTAGTGAAACTTTGGTTGCAAAGCGATCCGATTGAGGATCGAAGGTACGACAACATTGATAGACTTTTTTGATGTCTAGATTTCTAAATGCTTTCAATTCAGGCTGACGCCGTCCTCATCGAGGCGGATCCATACTTCTTCTCTACGAATCGAGCGCGTACCTGCCACACCTGGTCTTCTTTTTGCCAAATAGCAACATGGATAGCATCGGAACACGAGGACGGTTTCCCCAGCGATCGAACCAACACAACACTGATGTTCACAGGACCCGCGACTTGTTCGCCGCGGAAATGTTTTGGTACGGATGTCTACCTAAATAACCGTTTCAGCTCGTTCTTTACCAATAAATCTACATGTTCAGGTCCTGTATAGTATAGCCGGAAGCAGCCAGCCACCTATCCTACTTACGGGCGATCCAATCGGGGATCAGGGGTATGATTTGCTCATCATCTTCTACAGCATGCACTTGCTCAAAACAGACTATTCAGATAGGCTCGGCTCTCCACAGGACGGCACGCCACGATTTGTCATCAAGTTGGTTCGAAGGAATTTTGTAAAATGGCGTGCTGCTTCCACTCGGCGCAACAAAGGGATGGACTACTGCCTGCACTACAGTCGACGGAACAAGGGATTTCACTCTTAATGATCCGAGGCAATGAACCAGAAATGCTTCCGACCTTCTGCAGCTTTCTGAAGAAGAAGTCTTGGATGAAAATGCTGCTTCCGGTTATATGGCGGCGTAGATTACCTTTTAAGCCAGCGGCATATGGAGAAAGTGTGTAAAATTGAGTTTTATGCTTTTTTTCTTATTCTAATTGTTTATAATTGCAGGGAGCTTCGTGGACAGCAAGCAGGCCACGCCGGAAGCCGTCGACGCCGAGGAGATTTTAACTAAGACAGGTGTGGTTGATTGGTGTGGGCGCGTAGGATTTTTAGGTGTAGTTTTTCGTGTGTTTTAATTGATTTCATTAACTTCTTGTAACAATTAGTGGGTAATGTTTTTATCTGACAACATTATTCTGAGGGGGTAGTATTTATTGTTTACTTTTTAGTTTATTTTTACAGTGCTGTACTGTACTTTTAACTAGTTCCTTGTGGTTCTTCCCAGAATTTAGGTCTCTTGACGTTGAATAACTACCACGATCACCGTGTGCTCGAAGAGGGGACTGCGGCCAATTCTATCAAGCACCCCTTTTATTCCAACAGGGGCACAAAATCCATATCCGGTGGGAAGGGGAACCGGTGGGGGTAGAGGGGAAATCGTGAGCGGTACGTAGAAAGGATTTTCATAGGAAAGGGGGAGGGGGGGGGGGGGGGTTCTCTCTGTTCGTTTACTTGGTTTGGTTGTTTTTTTGCTTTTCCCGGGGTAGTGTGGTGGTGATCCTTTATTAGATTTTGGTTATCTCTCCAATCATTTGTTTTTGTCTTTTATTCGATTTCGCGTGTCATTTTGGGAGAGGGATACACTGGGGGTATGGCAAGGGATAACGGGTAAACGTAGCTCCTTGATTCCCAAATAGCTTATGGGAGTTTTGTTTTGCTTGTTAGTAGTTAGCCGCTTTCTCCCTTTCGGAGTGCAACATTATGTGATGGCGTTAGAATTTGACGGTTTGAGAGAGTTAAGTCAGGGAAGAACATTCAGGGAACCAACTTAGGGGGCTAGGTTGAAGGATAGTTTAGTCTAGATGCCCACACTAATCAATCACCCTGTAATACCCACCCTAAGTTTTCTCTAGGGATAGAGGAGGTCTTGAACCTTCTAAAGAATTTACCCCTTTCACAATGAATCCCCACGCATTGTTTCCTGCCGATGGACTCGACTTACGAGGTCCTGAGAAAGGCATGCCTTGGAGTTCTGGAAACTTCCTTTGTGTCACTTCTCCATCCAATGTAACTGCAACGGCTCAGTAGTGGCCGGTGCTTGCGACAGTTGTGTTTGTGGACTCATTCTCTTCAGAATGGAGCATCTCACAGGGTTTGGGCATGTAATTTTGTTCTATGAACAGCAGTTGGTAGGGTTCTCGAGCTCGTCAGCTCGTACCATCATTTTCCATTGGATTTTAGCGATATCAGCCAGCGCTGCAGGCACGCGCTATTGAACTTTTCATCTGCATAGTTGGATGTTCGGTAGGAACGTTCGGTCTACAGCTCCAGCGCGACAGTTGCACGACATCCGTAAGTTTCTGGCAAAGTGTACTTCTGCTCGGTAAAGGTAAGTGATAAAATGTTAGTAGAAGTAGTAATCTTTGGAGCTCACAGTGGCTGCTATAGGATTGATTGCATGATCTGATCAATTTTGCACCTTTTGAAGCGTTGAGTAGTGGGGTTCGATGGGAATCGGAATCTGCTGCTTTGGGTATGGGAGCGAATTGTGGCCTTTGCCCCATGGGTGGTTGTGATGTTTCGAGTAATTGAATGCCAAACATGGCATCATTAGCCTCAGAAACTTGTAGGAACAATTGGAGCAGCTTGTTATCCTCAACAGCACGCTTTTTTCTTCGAGGTGTTGCGAGTCTTTGAATAATTTTGTTGGAAATAACCTATTTGTTCAGTTCTTGCACTTTTCCTGTGAGGTGATAGGTTGATGCCAAAGTCTCGAGACCCATACCCACCCCGGGACCATCTCCCCATTCTGGAACAGTCCGGAGATACTGTCAGTGATATTCAAAGAAATCTCGAGCCCTTCTTGTGTGAACGATCTCGCAATCATCGAGTGATGGACATCGAGCAGTTGCCTTCTACGAAGGAGCCGCTGTGCCAGTGCTCGTTCCGTTGGATCCAACATCAACACTGCATACGGAGAGAGCTTCACTAGCCATACGACCGTTGCGCGTTTTTTCCTTCTATCGTTCTCTTACATTGGGGAGGTACGACGCTCGAGAAGGATCCTCTTTCGGACGATCACTTGCTATCGATGATGACCGACTTCTTTGCAAAAGAAGAGGATTCCGGAAGTCATGAACTGGGAATTCGTTGGCTTCTTTAGTGCTACCAAAATAGAGAATGTCGTCAGTCATCCCAGACATTCACAAAAAAGGCTACTGGAAAGTATTGCTCGACGATTCCTAACCTCTTGATCGACGATCTCCATCAGGCGCATGTTTCATTCGGCCAGTCGCTCCTCCTCACCCTCAATTGGAAGGAGTTTCTGCAAGATCTGGTGATAGGGCATGAGAGCTGAGCTTCCCGACAACAACGTGGGGATCGTTGTCTCTCCCTCAGAAAGAGAAGATCCGCTCGTGCAGCCGAAACCAGAACAGCTTCCCAGAAAGGCTTCACTGTGCTGCTCTCATGACCCGAAGAAGATGCTCACCACAAGCCGCTCCCTTGCTCATGCAATTGAAGGAAGTCATCCGCGGAGAGTTTCTGCCCATCTCGCATGATGACGATCGCTCTCACTTGGCAAAGACCAGGCTTCAGGATATTGGGTGGAATACCGTGTCCCACCCTCACTACTTCTTTAGTCTGATCTCGCACCTTCAAAGGTTTACTATTTCAGGCACCTCAAGCAGTTCAACGCCAAGAAAAAGTCGACACTTTGGATGACCTTGAAAGTAGTTTAGCTAACTCTTTTGACCCACAGACTTTCTTTCTGAGCGAAATGAGTAGCCAACTCGCTTCCTGGATGCATGAGCGACTTAGATAATGGCGATTCAGTTCAGTGGGAGTTTGCAGTACGTCGAATGAGAGTTTTCATCGAAATATAGAGGATTTGAGACGTGTATCAAAATGACTCGAGACTTTTGCATCTACCTGACCATTTCTTACCCAGAGCAATCACTTTCACAGAAACTTCGTAGTTAGACGTTTTAAGTAGAGCGCTCGGGAATCATGCGAATTTCATGACTTCCTTTGTATGTTCAGAAATTCATAGCTAATCTGCCTCCATCTCGTCCTTCGAGTGACCCGTCTTTTTGATGCTTTGTCGAAGGCATTGTGTAATCGCATCAGGTGAGTTTCTTAGTTACTAATCAAAGTTTTGAGAGCAGTACGAAATTCCTATTTTGGACTTGAAAATACCTACAGTTTAGTAATGATGCACTCTTGAGTTGCCTCAGAACCGCTTCCACATTCCTAAAAAGAATCTTTTTGCACATTTTTGACGTGGTGGCCGGCTAAATCTTATTTTAACTAAGAAGTGCTCGATATTTTTTCTGGATCTTTGGTGATTTTACTTCAAGTGAGGGTTGGATGGCACAATGGCTAAAGATGGGTTAGAGTTCTTCCAAAGTCCCATGAGTAGAGCTTTTCTTACGGGATTTTCGCAAAATGCAGTAGGTAAAGCATTTCAATATGGTATAAAAATTGGTTCTAAGGATTATCTGTTCCTCCGCCCAGCAATCTCGTGGGCCATACGAGATGTCTAACAGGAAGTTAATGGGCCGTTCTTTTCCTGGTATAATAACGATTTTGTATAATCGTTGCTCGTGATCGAATTAAAATAGTCCATTCTCTCCCTCAACCCACTGAGACTCCTTTTGGGTTCCGGTTATGTGTCCCTTTGCTGTCGATCGGAGACGATGTCCCAGCTTTGGAGACCACAAGATGCGCTCTTGTGACTTGGTGAGATTGGTGGACGAGTCAGTGCTCGGATCAGTCGTTTTTCTTTCTGGGAAATCAAGGTTCAAGTCCTCGAAGTGGGTGCAAAGATGAAAGGAGAAGTGAGGGAATGGATTCGGTACAGAATGGAGTTAGCAAGAGATGCGTTTGATCCTTGTATAAAAGTGATAGCGGAATTCGAAGTAGATTTTTAGACAGCAGTTTTCCATCCTGTATGGTATCCCGTATGTATCCCCCTTCAGAAGAGGGGAAAAGTTAACGATACATCATCTCTATCCTTCACTCTTTCCCATTCTCTTAAGATCATTCTAGTTGAGCCTAGATCACACTACCATTAATGAACAAGTAGGGTGGTACTCATTGTCTTGTCTTCATCTTACCCCGCCATAGATAGAAATAATCCATTCAAGTGAGCTCTGACATCGATTTCATTTTTGAGACAGGATCGGGTCCGAAAACTACTCTACTAATACTACTCAATACTAAAAATACTCCCAGAACTCGGCTCTCTCGTATAGAATCGCAGCTCGCTTTCAAATCGGAACAGATAGGCTAGTCCGAAGTTCTTTGCTGGGTCAAGTTCAAGCTTTGAGAAACGAAACCTAGTTAGGATGCTCTATTCTCTTCAAAGTTGTTCGAGGATTTGTGAGGAACTCATATGAGGGCTGCTACTTCTGACTACCCTCTTTCTCGTAATCATCTCTATTGGGATTCTTCGTTATCTGCTCTTCTAGGGTCGTCACGAGTCGTCTTGTTCAGCTCCGAGACAAGTGCACCTTCCCATTGTCAGCTT